GAGAACCTGCAGCTCTTTGCAGAAGGCAAAGAAGTTTTATACTCAAGCCTGGTGAACGTTACAATATCTGAGTTGGTGTTTGGAGACTCTTTGATTTACCGTTCAGTAACTTTATCTGGTGTTCTTGGCACCCTTGCAAAAACTTGGCAAGGCTTTCTTATCGGAGCTAATTAGTTGGAAGCAGCCTTTTATCGGTGAAGGACCGGGATTCGTAAACGAAACATTCAAAGGTTGTGCTGTTACCTTTGTCTCGTGTTTACTCTCTTGGAACCAGGTTTGGGTCAGAACATTACCAAGCACTCAAATTTTGATCATGTGACCATGAGGATACTGCAGCGGTCATAAGTTTGAAAACTGGCCATAAGCCGCTTTTTTCAGCGCCACTGTCGCTTCAAGTGGTTACTAAATGAATGTTTATATATCGAGAACTACCTGGATCTCCCAGGAATTTATTTTAAAGCCTCCTGCAGATGTATCTTCCCATATACGATGCTATACTACTAGTTCTATACTAGTGGTGGCTAACCTTTTTGGGCTCCTGTGCCAATAATTGTGCGTGCTGCTGCACACGCGTGCTTGCGTGCCAGCACCCAGAAGGCAATGCGCACAGGTCCCCCCACCACGGCCCCTGCGCATGCGTGATGCCCTATGCGCACACCGCACGTCTCTGTGTATGCGTGATCGACACCCTCACATGCTGCACATTTCTGCACATGCATTAGTGAACCCTCCCATGTACCGCACATCTCTGTACATGAGTGTGCATCTCCCACGCACCCCCACCTTTCACACATGCGCACCAGATACCCAGCAATCAGCTGTTGGGCAGGCGGTGCACACTCATGCACAATAGACCTGCTCTGGGGGAGGGGTAACATGCCAGCAATAATGGCTTTGCGTGCCACTTCCAGTATGTGCGCCATTGGTTCACCATCACAGTTCTATACAGTCTAATCATGTATCCAAGAGGTAGAATTTAGAAGATTCCTGAGGACGCAGGAGACTTTACGAAAGAACAAAACTAACTTTATGAGAAAATCCCAACCCGAAGAACCAGGATCCCTCCATCCTCTCTCTTTTAAGGAGATGGCTCAGTGGGACAAGGATTGCTGGGTCCCTTAAGTGGGTGGAAAATTGGGGTGGAATAGACTAGAGTGTCCTTGTAAAGATTGTCCTGGATTGATTAGGACCCTGAATAGAACTACTTCACCTCATTTGATTTCTTGGAAACCCACCTTCCACAGTCCACACTGCCAACCAGGTGTGGGATCCTACAGGTTCACACCTATTCTCTAGAACCGGTTGTTAACACTCTAAGCAGTTCGGAGAACCAGTTGTTAGAAGAAATTACTGGCCTAATCCTGTAAGGAAGGCAGGAAGGAAACATTCTGGTGTTGCTTACAGAAACTGCCTCTCTGTTAACCCTTATTACATTCCTGGCAGGACTAGACTTCCTGTCTCAGGAACTTCTCTGGAGTTTTTTTCCCTTCCTTTGCTGGTACTTTATTTGTGAGGAGTGACCCTTCAAAGTTACAATGGCACTGAAAAATGTGACTTATGACCATTTTTAACACTTACGACAGTTGCAGCATCCCCACAGTCATGAGAGGCCAGGCGAGGAGATGCGTGCCTGGATGTGAGTGATGTTGAGTTGGCCATGTCCACCCAGTCACATGACCACCAAGCCACGCCCACAAACTAAGCCACGCCCACAGACCCAGTTGTTAAAAAAAATTGAATCCCAACCCTGCAGCCAACTAGTATTAATCACATCTAATCAAGGCATGTACTCATCACAAATAGATTCCAAGATGGGTATCTGACTTATTCTCCATAACTTCTTCATTTCTATGATATTGGTTCAAACCAGTCCATGGGATTCAATTTTTTTCACTACCGGTTCTGTGGGTGTGGCACGGTGGGCATGGCAGGGGAAGGATACTATAAAATCTCCAGTCAGAGGTGGGATTTGCGGGTTCTCCCAACTACTCAAAATTTCCGCTACCGGTTCTCCAGCACTGGTCAGAACCTGATCAATACCACCTCTGGATTTGCTTCCAAAACAGCCCACACCAGCCTGAACTCCTGATGGGGTTTTCCCCATCTTTCACTTTCTTTGCCTGATAATTTTTTCCTACTTTTCTCTGACTTCTGTTTCTATCGCTCTGCTATGACCTTTCTCCTTTGGGAAAGTCCTAAAAAGAGCTCTCTTTTCTTACGATTTTCATGCGAGGCCCTGGAGACCACAGACCGCGGGAAAGAAGATTTAATCAAGGAAGGTACAAATTTCCACATATCCATTAGCCCTCTAAAACAACGTTTCCCAACCCTGGGCAAATTTAAGGTGTGTGGACTCCTACTTCCAGAATTCCCCAGCCAGCTATGTTGGTTGGGGAATTCTGGGAGTTGAAATCCACATGTTTTAAAAATTGCCAAGGTTGGGAAACCCTGCTCTAAAGAATCTTCGGTACAGGGAGAACCTACTCTGTCTCTGAGAAATATTCCTGAAATATTCTTCTCTTCTGAAGAACATTTCAAAAACAAATTCTCTTATCCAATGCAAACAGGGGGGGGAAAGCAGGAATATTTTTTTCTGCCTAGCACTTGCCTAGCTCAAAAAGAAAGAAGGGAGGGAGGGAGGGAGTGAAGGAAGGAAAAGAGAAAGAGAGAGAGGAAGGGAGGGAGAGAGAAAAGAAAGAAAGAAAGAAAGAAAGAAAGAAAGAAAGAAAGAAAGAAAGAAAGAAAGAAAGAAAGAAAGAAAGAAAGAAAAGAGAAAGAAAGAAAGAAAGAAAGAAAGAAAGAAAGAAAGAAAAAGGAAGGAAGGAAGGAAGGAAGGAAGGAAGGAAGGAAGGAAGGAAAGAAAGAAAGAAAGAAAGAAAGAAAGAAAGAAAGAAAGAAAGAAAGAAAGAAAAGCAACCAAACAAGGGTCAATATACAATAGATCACTCGTCTTTACAGCCACCGAGAGCTAAGCTCAAGTTAAGGGAAGATTTTATTTTTAGCACCCCAAATGCTTCTAAGTTACACCTCTGCTAATCAGGAAGAAGACTTCCGTGTCTCCCCCAGTCAAGAAGCCCAAAGGGATCCACATTTTGCAAAGCAGGTCTTAACAATGAAATCCTGTACATGTTTTATCTTCTCTGCCAGGTCCATAAACCAAGACTTGGGCTCTTCTTGTGCCCAATCAGGAATGCCGAGGGCCTTTTTCTGTGCAGTTGGCAGAAACGTACGTCCAACCTAATCCTTCCTCTGATGCGTCAATAGTATCTATTTACACACAGCAAGGTCACATTGTTACTCTGGAGTTTTTTTGCTTTTGCTTTTTAAATAGCCCCTTGATCCCTTTCTTATTCTAAGCGGAAAGAGAGCAGCAGCTACAACCCGACCACAGGTGTACACAACTGAACTGCAACTGGACCAAGCACAAAAGGGGTTTTTTTGTTGAGCGCTTGGAGTTAACAACTTTCCTGGGCAGTAACTCTCTTCGCCCCTAACCAAGTCGGCAAGAGTCTGGTGTCACCTTGGCAAGCCGAAGCTTCCACGGACTACTTCCACGCACGAGGTCTCACACTGTTGTCTTGGCAAGGCACCACAAAAAGCCTTCAGTGGTTTGCGGCTGAGTGCATTTGTCCACGAGACTTCAGGATGAATCAAAACAACTTTAAATAAAGCTCGGGGACTTCCACAACAAATATGCAGTACTCTACACAAGGGTATGTCTAACTTGGTTACTGGATTAATCCATTTCCTGGCTCATGCAATATGCCCATACAGATTGAATGGGGGGCTATCAGTGGAGGGTTAATGGTCACAGATGGGTTTTCTCCAGGACACTGTGCCCAACCTGGCTTTACACTGAGAGAGGAACCGAATAGGAATAGGAATAGGATTAGGATTAGGATTAGGAATAGGAATAGGAATAGGAATAGGAATAGGAATAAGAATAAGAATAGAATAGAATAGAATAGAATAGAATAGAATAGAATAGAATAGAATAGAATAGAATAGAATAGAATAGAAAATATGGAATGGAATAGCAGAGCAGAGCAGAGCAGAGCAGAGCAGAGCATAGCATAGCATAGCATAGAATAGAAAATATGGAATGGAATAGAATAGAAAAGAAAATATGGAATGGAATAGAATAGAATAGCATAACATAGCATAGCATAGCATAGCATAGCATAGAATAGAATAGAATAGAATAGAAAATATGGAATGGAATAGAATAGAATAGAATAAGAATAGGAACAGGAACAGGGACAAGGACAAGAACAAGAACAAGAACAAGAATAGAATAGAAAATATGGAATGGAATGGAATAGAATAGAATAGAAAAAGAATAGAATAGAATAGAATAGAATAGAATAAGAATAGAATAGAATTCTTTATTGGCCAAGTGTGATTGGACACACAAGGAATTTATCAGTGCAAATGCTCTCAATGTACATAGAATAGAATAAGAATAGGAATAAGAATAAGAATAAGAATAAGAATAAGAATAAGAATAAGAATAGGAATAGGAATAGGAATAGGAATAGGAATAGGAATAGGAATAGGAATAGAATAGAATAGAATAGAATAGAATAGAAAGAATAGAATAAGAATAATAAGAATAAGAATGAATAAGAATAGTAATAGAATTCGTTATTGGCCAAGTGTGATTGGACACACAAGGAATTTATCTTGGTGCAAATGCTCTCAGTGCACATAAAAGAAAGGATGCTCAGTTCACACCATGAGCTGCACCACAGAAGAACAAACCAAGGTGACCGCTAACCAAACCCAAAGAGAAACGCATCACAGCATTCCTGTCTAATCTAGGGAAAGAGGTTTTGATTCTCGTGCCGTACGCAACCCTTCCTCCCCTTCTCCGAAAGATTCAGGTCCTGGAGCAAAGCCAGACAACGATGGGTTAATCCAGTACCCAGGTTTAAAGGGGTCGTGCGAAGGCAGCCAAGCTTCTTCCCCTTTTTTTTTTTTATTTTTTTCCCCTCGTTTACCTCTTCAGATAGTTTCTCCCGTACAGGATCTGCTGCAGCAAGGTGACCACGGCGAAAGCGCAGATGAAAATGAAAAGCAAACTTCGGTTCCCCAGCAGATCCCGGTTGAAAGTCGGGTCCGTGTAGCCCATGCTGGCGGCGGCGGCGGCGGCGGCGGGACGAACGAGGGCAGAGGTATCCGTCCGGTCAACCCCGGCCAAGAGCCCAAGTCATTATTCGGGTACCGGGACGGCCAGGCGGCCGGAGGAACCGCTCGGGCGCCCCAGCCGAGCGCAAAAGCCAAGGACGCGGCGCCCCCGCATCGCGCCGGGAACGGACGGGAGGAGCCGGGATGGCGCTTTCCCCGCGACCCCCTCAAAGTTTCCGGGCGCGGGGAGAGAAGCGCAGCGGGACCGCCGCCTCAGGAGAGCCCAGCGGAACCGTCCTCTCTCTCGCTCTCTCTCTCTCTCCCGCCGTCACCGGCGCGTCCCCGAGGAAGGCGACGGTGGCGGCGCTGCTGCCGCTGCTGCCGCTTTTCTTTCCCCCCCCGGAGAAGCCAAAAGCGGGCGCGAAGAGCGGCCAGCGAGCCCGAAGTAGCCGCCGGCTCCGCACCGACGCCTTGAGGGAAGCAGCCGGCTCGGCGCCCTCCGTGGCCGGAGCGGCTGGCTGACAAGGAAGGAAGGACGGCCGGGAGGGGAGGTGGGGTGGCGCGGAAAGCCGCAGTTCGCCGCGGCGACGCTCCGAGCCGCGTCCAAAGGCGGGCGGGAAGGCGTGAGGGAAGAAGGCCGGGGGAGGGTCTCATTTGGCGGGAGGGGGGCGGGAATGGCTCCTCCGTCTCCCGTCTCGGCGGGTCTCGGAGATGATGCCTCCTCCTCCTCCTCCTCTTCCTCTTCCTCCGGCCTTGCGCCGGCTTCTTCTCTCCTCTCCTCGCCTTCCTCCCACCCCCCGCCCCGTCCAGCCTCGGAGAAAGCGAGCAAGGTCGCCGCGCCTCCATTTCAAGGACGCGGGAGCGCCGCGCTGCCTCGCCGAAGCTCTGAGATAAGCCGGCTGGACCACGCGCGCAGGCCGGAGACTTTCAAGGATACTTTCCCCCCACCTTCCCTCCACCTCTCTGTCCCACGTTTGAGGGGTTTCAGAGGTGGTCCTCGACTTACAACGGTTCGTTTAGTGACTGGGGGAGTGACTTCACCCTCCCCCAGCCCAGCCCAGGCAGGGATTTAGGACCGTTTTTTCCCACTTACCACCATTGCAGGGTTTCCCCAAGGTCACCCGATGGAAAATTCCAGCACTTGGCAACCGACTCATAGTTATGACGGGCTGCAGTGTCCCGGCATGTCGTGGGATTCTCCCTTTTTTTGTGACCTTCCGACCCAGATTCACTTCACCGCCGTGCCGCTAACTTTTAAGGACTGCTGGGTGTCACTGAACAACGGTGGCAAGAGAGGTCGTAAAAGGGGGGCAAAATGTTGTCTAGCTCGGCGACAGACATTTGGGGTCTCAAATTGCGGTCGTGTGTCGAGGACTGGCTGTAATGGTGAGAGAAAGATGACCGGGGCCGTGTCTCAGCCTCGCTGCTGCCTCTCCGATTCGTTTAGTGGCCATCCCTGCGCAAGATGCTCTGAAAGAAGTTGAGGGCCCCGGGAGGAGGACTTTGAGATTGACCTTGAGAGGGGAAAGCAAGATGGAAAGAAACGCCTTGCTAACTGGGAAACCTGAATCAAGAAGGGCTCTTCAGGAGCATGTCTGAATGTTTTCCTTTCTCCCCTCTTTATTCTTGCCCCATCCTGGGCACAGTGAGATGATATTAAGCATCCCCAAACAGTCATATTACGAGGAGGATTTGTGAGAAAGGGATGGATATGGATGTGATACGAATGCGGAAATGCTCGGATGCCGATTGGAGCAGGGCCTCCAGGAAAATGCTGCGCTTTGAATTTGTGGTGCATCGGGGAGAATGTCCAGAGACCCAAGCGAATAAAACTGCTTGAAGATAGTCCTTAACTTGTGGCCACAGTTTGAGACCAGAATTTTGGTGGTTAAGCAAGACAGTTGTTAATAACAAGTGCACTAGTGTTTAGACTTGTATACCGCTTCATAATGCTTTGCAGCCCTCTCTAATCGGTTTTAAAAAATCAGCGTACTGCCCGCAACAATCTGGGTCCTCGTTTTACAGATATTGGAAGGATGAGTCAACCTTGAGCCGGTCAGGATTGAACTCCTGGCTATGGGCAGAGTTTGCTTGCAATACTGCACTTTAACCACTGAGCCATCAGGGGAGGGAAGGGGAAGGAGGGGGGATGGAGGGAGGGAAGGAGGGAGAAATTGAGGGAGGAAGAAGAAATAAAGAAGGAAGGAAGGAAGGAAGGAAGGAAGGAAGGAAGGAAGGAAGGAAGGAAGGAAAGAAGGAAGGAAGGAAAAAATAGGGGAGAAAGGAAGAAATAAAGGAAGGAAAATAGGGAAGGAAGGAAGGACAGACGGACAATAGCACTTAGACTTATATACTGCTTCCCAGTGCTTTTACCGCACTGTCTTTTAAGTGGTTTACTCTTGCCCCCAACAATCTGGGTCCTCATTTTACCCACCTCGGAAGGATGGAAGGCTGAGTCAACTCTGAGCCGGTCAGAATCAAATTCCTGGCAATGAGCAAAGTTAGCCTGCAATACTGCATTCTAACCACTGCGCCACCAGGGCTAATTAAGTGACTCATGCCCAGTGTTACGATCTTCCTTGCCACCATTGTTTAAGCAAATTGCTGCAGTTGATAAGTAGTGGATTGTTAAATGAATCCTCCTTTGACTTGGCAATCATGGACCCCCAGGATGCTGCAGTCATTGTAAATTGTAAGGCCAGACCTGGAATACTGCCTCCAGTTTTGGTCGCCACGATGTAAAAAAGATGTTGAAGATGATTAGAGGACCAGAGGATAAAACATACAAAGAACAGTTGCTGGAAGTAGGTCTATCTAGCTTGATGAAAAGAAAGACTAGGAGTGACATGATAGCAGTGTTCCAATATCTCAAGGGCTGCCCCAAAGAAGAGGGAGTCAAGCTATTCTCCAAAGCACCTGAAGGCAGGACAAGAAGCAACGGATGGAAACTAACCAAGGAGAGGAGCAATGCAGAATTAAGGAGAAATTTCCTGACTGTCAGAATAATTAATCAATGGAATGACTTGCCTCCAGAAGTTGTAAATGCTCCAACATTGGAAGTTTTTAAGAAGAGATTGGATAACCATTTGTCTGAAATGGTATAGGGCAGAGGTCAGCAACCCATGGCTCTGGAGCCACATAGGGCTCTTTCATCCCTCTGCTACGGTTCCGTCTTTCAAAATATGCATCACAACCGCCAATATGCGACACCCGCCTGCATGTGATTTATTGAGTTTTTTGACCCCTGGTAGGCCGACCATGGATACATCCAAGAAATGAAAAGTTTCAGAAGAGAATAGAACACTTAATTCAACTACATATGCTAGTGGCTGCTCAGGAACTAGTCAGACACAGGAAAGGTTTTGTGGCTCCTGGTGTTTTCTATGGGAAACGGGACCAAATTATTTTTTGAATGTTTAAGGTTGCTGGCCCCTGGTATACAGTTTCCTACCCTAAGCAGGGGATTGGACTAGAAGACCTCCAAAGTCCCTTCCAACTGTTATTCTATTTCTAAATACATGCCAGTTTGTTCAATTTTGATCACATGACTATGGTGATGCTACGACGGTTGTTAGGGCGAGGAGTAGTGGTAAGTCACTTTTCTCAGTGCAATTATGAACAGTCACTAAGCAAATGGTTGCAAGTTGAGCACAATCTGTACTTTGTTTGTATTCTGGCCCATGGCTGACCTGATGATGACCACATCATGTTCACCCTTAGTGCTCCTCCTCATTGGTATTCAGGTTCAGTCCCAAAGGTGCTTTTTCAAAAGCCACCTGGACTTTCTGGTTCTTCTCTGAAGACGTTTCGCTTCTCATCCGAGAAGCTTCTTCAGCTTCTGACTCAACGGAGGGGAATGGAAGGATTGATATTCCATGCAGACAGCTGGTCATTTGCATTCTTTTAAAGAGTCGTTGAGTCATCTATGTCAAAATTGAACAGCCCTCTCTCAACAGAGGGGAAAGGATACGACATCATCTATCTCCAATCTACAACACAATCCTTTGAACAGTTCCAAGAAGGCTCCACACTTATTTGCACCACTCAGATGACCCTGAGAACATAGATACACCTCCCAAGTGCTTCAAGGACCCTCTAAAAGGATGCAAACGACCAGCTGTCTGCAAGGAGTATAAATCCTTCCGTTCCTCACTGTCCAGTCAGAGCTGAAGAAGCTTCTTGGATGAGAAGTAAAATGCCTTCAAAGAAAAACCAGAAAGTCCAATTGCCTCTTGAAACAAAGCGCTTTTGGGACAACTATGACCTGGATGACTGAGAATCTCCATAGACATTCAGGTTCAGTCTTTCTGGCCTGCCAGTGTTCCAACATAATTTCTAGGACAGAGCCAGAAATTGGAATAATGCCCGTAGATCTGTAAGAACTTACATGAGCAATTACTCACTTCAGTGAGTGAGTTCAATTTTTTTTCCCTTCTGTTCAGTCCCATCTGATTCTCAGAGACTGCGTTGTACAAGTTCTTGCAGTTTGCTTGGCAAGACTTTTTCAGAAGGAGAGGCAGGCCTTAACATAGAACCACCATGGAGACTAAAATTTCTGTTGTTAAGTGAGACATTTGTTCGGCCCCCTGTTACATTTCTTTCTTTCTTTTTTACAAAATTGTATTGAATAAACATTAAAAAATGGAACACAGTACGACTTTCCTGGCAATTATTTTGCCATACGTACTACAACATAAAATCACATACAACAGTTGATCTATTTATTTTACATTACTAAGTCAGTGCAATTAACATATTGACATATTCATTTCCGTTTATATTCATATTTACAGCATAACTTCCTTTCACATTCTTTTTCTATAACAATTTTATCCACTGTACTTCGTTATCTTTAGTCTAAAGGTCTTCCACCTTTAATCCTATACAGGATCGGAATTTTTGTTCCGACTTCTTTTTCTCAATTCCAACCACTTGTACATTTTGTTCCAGACTTCATAGTATTCTGTCTCACTCTTACCTTTAATCTCTAATGTTAGTCTGTCC